AGTTGCAGGTCAGTATGTTACTCAAAACACCGTGTGTATCATTGTGTGCCTGGCATGTCGTTTCTGAATTTTTCGATTTACGAAAGCCGAGGTCACATGAAAGTTGGTACACTGCTCCAATGTACGTATCTGCTGTATAATAAAATCCATTGTTTACTTTGATCTCTTCCGCCGAGCAGTAATTGGGGCGACCTAGGTAGTATTGGCAAATTATTGACATCAGTGCAGACAACGAGAAAGATGCAGGAATGAACGAAAAGCACAGTGGGATAAACACCCAAATCAAATCAAAGAGGAGTACGAGTATAGTGCGTTTCAAAAGTATAGACCTTTTTAAAATAGACTTCACTAAACAATTCAAATTTGATTATAGCAATGAAATTGACGCACTGCACACTCAATCTAAACACACATCAAGGCAAAGTTGGTGGGTTAGTTCCAATAAGGTTTCCTTGTGATCTTCATCACATTGTTGACCAGGGAGAAATATAACCGAGTACTCTACTGTGAAGAAGAGGTAGGTGCGACTTTGGCGATACTTGGGGAATTGTGAGTTGCTCCCGACATGGGAGCTCGCGGTTATCTTGCAGACTTGATTTCTCACTTGACTGACACACATTTCCCCAAGTATCGCCAAATTCGAACCAACATCTTCTTCACATTGTTGTCCCCAGCCCGTGCTTGCGAATTAGCTGGTTTGGAGGCAGCAAAGTTGTGAATGGACAACGAGTCCTCAGCGCTTGTTCAGCACCTTCATGAGTGACACTGACTCACGCTGCTATCTGGTGTTCACGGGGTGTTTGCTGCAATGGAAACGGAGCGTTTCTGTAAGTTTGTATCCCTGGTGATGTTTGTGCCTGGAGAGCACTATGTAAGTAGTGCTCTTCAGGCACAACCTTCCTCAACCTACTCAAGCTGAACTGAAGAGGGTGAATTTCCCGAAACACTGTGTATTGAGCAGGGAGTGATGCTTTCTTGCAGGTTTGCCGAATGGACGGTTCGATGGACGTCTCGTGTGCTGTGAATGGCAGTCGTGAGTCAGCCAAGTGAGAATTCAAGTCGGCAGGAAAAGAGCGAGCTCCCATGTAGGGAGCAACACACAATTACCTAGAGTACCCTATGTCAACAAATATTCGGCGCAATTTTGCTTTGCAAGGTTTAGTGTGACCCTGTCTACAGGCGGGAGCAGTCCAGGCCGAAAATATGATGCAGCCGAAATAGGTTTTAGCCCTGTGAGGTCGAAATTGGAATGGGGCGAACATTTGTAGACTTACAGTAGAGAGAAGGTGCGACAATATGGGACAACAAGAAAGAGAACTCCGATGGTGAGGCAAGGAAAATATTACATTGAAACAAGGAAAACGGTGGGGGACATGTTATGCGTAAGAGTCCACCAACTAAACCAGCAACAAGAAAGAGAGTGTGAAAATATGATGGAGTTGGTGCTGAGGACATCAAACTGCGTTACGTGGTGCATGAAACGTTTGGGATACATTAGAAACGGGAAGAAACAACAACATGGACTATTGTGTGTGAGAAGTACGGAACGAGTGTGAGAGCTGTGACCGCACTCACCCACACTCACCTGCACTCCCACAAACTCCCTACTTTTACGCTCAACTGATGATCAGTTGAGCTTAAGTGGGGAATTTGTGTTCCTGGTGATGGTAAGGTCTGGAGAGCACTATATCAGGGGTGAAGTCGTCGAAATGTCCTTTTAACTTGAATGGTGCACCAGTTTGATTATGGTAAAAAAAATGTTTCGAGTTATGACTAACTTTTCCTTCCTCTCTCGGGACTTTTCTTAACATGATCCTTCCATGTTGGAACGTTGTTGGTTTGCGCCTCGGAGAAGTGTTGCAGCTAGGTGTTAGGTCATTGAATGTCTCAGTACTCCTTATCAGTTTTGTGCCGTCCTGTTGCACTCCTTGTCTGTATATGATGTGGTTAGGTTGGTGGACAGTCAGTAACATTTTGTCCTTTTCCTGTTTTACTATAGTGTCCTTTAGTGCGCAAACTTCCATCTGACAAAGTTTCGCATCAATGTTAGCCATATATTATTATTATTATTATGTGCATTTTCGCGTTGAAGTAGACCGATATGTCCACTTCTTTGCTTGTGCTGGACAACAAAGGTAGGAGGATAACAAATGACACGCTGTGGGAAAAAATCAAACGATCACTGGATCAGAACCAAAACAGCACGAATGAGAAAAAGGGGCAAAGGAGCCGCAGAAGTATAAAGTCAGTGGTGGGTGAACAATGCAGTAGAGAGCATTGAGTGACGGTGTGGTGGATCAGCAACAAAGGCACCATCCAAACATACAAGGTCACATGTACTCGTACGTTGAGAAGAAGACAGATATTGCAGTGTCATCCGTCCCTTACAGATCCTTTTCTGTCACCCGTTGACACAGAGCTCGCCACTCGGCCCTATCCGCTGCAATCTTCCTGATTCTGTGCAAGTCCTCCAGACTACTAAGCTTTCCAGCATCTGCTGCCTCCAAGTCAGCAGATAGTGTACCCGGCAGGCTGGTCCTCGGCCGTCCTCTCCAGCCCTTGATGTCCTTGTTGGTGTAGTAGCTGAGCATTGCCTGGACGGCTGGTGTGCTGTCGGACAGACGGAGGACATGTTCGAATAGCTTCCATCGCAACATCTTAATGGTGTGACTGATCGGCTGTCTTTCACATTGGGCGTATAGTGCGTTGTTCGATATCGTCTGAGGCCGCCTGATGCCTATAAGCGACCTCAGTTAACGCCGATGGAAGGAGTCCAATCGCTCCTGAGCTGACTTGGTAACCGCCCACGTACCAGAGTTTTACAGCAGTCCAGTGATGAGGAAGGCTTGGTATAGCCGTAGGCGAAGCTTTTCGCTGACTTGCTGGCCTCGTTTCCAGAGGTTCCCCAGGCCCCGAAAGGCAGCTGTTGCCAGTTGCTTCCTCCTCAGCACATCCTCATCATCACCAATCAGACTTCCAAGTTTTCGTGTTGATCTCCATTCTTCTTTGTTGTGATCATTGAGTCTAGTGATTTCTGTGGACTCTGTTTTGTCATGATTCATGTTGATCGACCATTGCACCAGGGTAGAACTCGCCGTAGCTTCTAGCTGGGAGAGCCACCGCCGACTGTTGCTCACAAAATCTGCGTCGTCAGCAAAGATTAGCTCAAGCGGCAGGTGAAGATCAGCATGGGGTCTGGGGCTGTTTCCTTTCTCAGTTGCTGTAACGCTGCTTTCAGATATACCGTGAACAGGACCAGTGACAAGGAGTCACCCTGCGGTGTGCCAATAGTTGTAGGAAATGTTGGTGGTGACGTTTTACCAAGGCGGACATGGAGCTTTGTTCCCGAGAGTAGGCATTGTATCAGACGCAGTTCATCCTCATTCACGACTTCCTTTAGTACACTCATGTGTCTGAGTATGTGTGTATTGGTGCGTAGGTGTGGGTATGTACATGTAGATGTATGTGTGTGTGTGTTTGTGGGTGTAGGTGTGGGTGTGGATGTGTGGATGTGTGGGTGTGTGGATGTGTGGGTGTGTGGATGTGTGGGTGTGTGGATGTGTGGATGTGTGGGTGTACATGTAGATGTGCAATGCTTCGATTTCTCTATCTTCTCTTCTCTTCTCTCTTTCTTTCGGGGTCTCCCGCTTCTGGGCCGGCATGGCCCATGCTTCATGCGTGCTTGTTCCTGGTGTTGTTTTTTCTACTGTGTCCTGCGGCTACTCCGGCTTTGGCCGTGACCACGATGTGTCTCCCCATTTTCTCCTTCATCCTTTCCTTTGTCTTTTTGCTAAAAGCTTTCTTCTCGCCGTGACCCCGATTTTTCTTCTTCTTCTTCTTCTTCTCCATTATTCTTTTTCTTTCCTTCCTTTCTCTTCTTCCTTTGCCGAGAACCTTCATTCCCATTATTTTCTTTTCATCTCTGTCCCCATTCCTGGGTTATTTGGACTTCATTCGCTTCCTTGTCATTGGACATGTTCAGTCCGTTCGGTTTGCGAATTTAAATAAACACAACCAACCAACCAACCAACTCATCAGTTGGTCACGTCTGATAGTGTCAAATGCCTTTGATAGGTCAATTCCGAGGATGTGAATGTCCCAGTGAAAGCGTTGGGCTTTGGCAGGCAGCCAGTTGTACGCCCATACGACATCGGACGTTGACCGTCCACTCCGAAAGCCGCTATGGGTCTCAGCTAGAAACTCCTCCACTTTCGGTCTGATCCTTGCAAGGGTTATGAGCAATAATGCTTTCCTGAGCGATGTAAGTAGCACTATGGGCCGGAGAGTGGACGGTGGTCCAAGAGGTTTATTGGGCTTTTAAAGTAGGACGAGGATTCCTCCACCTACTTCTACTGACTGATGATGGCTTAATATACCATTGATAACTGAGGAAAGGGTAGACGCCATGGCGTCTCCTCCATCCTTGAGCAATTCAGCTGGGGCATCATCTTCTCCAGATGCTCGTCCGTTGTTGAGTTTCATCAGACTTTTAGCAACTTCAGTGCAAGTAATTGGGTTTGACAGTGGCCACGGAGGGCCGTCAAATTGTGGAACTGCCTGTGCGCTGGAATTGTTGAATTGGGTATCAAAATGCTGTCCAATAGCGGCAGCAGCTTCCTTTTCGTTGATGATGAATTTCCCTGCTTTATCAGCAACCACGGGATTTACAGCATTCCTCCTTCTCATGAGCTGGGCGGCTTTAAACATCTGCGCTCCATCTTCGAGACGCTCTACTTCCTTCGCCTTGTCATTCAAGCGCTCTTCAGCCTCCTTCAGCGATGTTCTGCCGATCTGATGGCTTATCTGGTTTCGCTGTTTTTTTTTAGCTTTGCCTTGGTCTCCAGGGTTTCCACATTGTTGATTCTCAGCCGTAGATCTCTCTGTTCCAGTGACAGCCTTCTTATCTCAGCACTCTCTCGTGTTCCATATCGAGTGGGATGTACCAAGCCCACGGTTGTTGCAGCAGCTTCTTTGGCGGCTTTCTTGGTCTTTTTACATTTGACGAAATGCCACGAACATTGAAGCTTCCTAACGAAAATGCCCGTCCATTAATCTTTCCCACCATTCGTAGTAATGAAGTTGAAGACATCACTGCAGCTGTACTTATGGTTGATAAATATGTGTGTGGGCAGGCGTGTGTTTACCGCCATATTGCCAGGTGTGTCTTTACCACCATATTTATCAACCACCATTCGTAGTGTCCGATATAAACCAAGTCTTCCCTGGTGGACGAGGAAGGTCTCTCTTCCGCAGAAAAGCGGAGAGAGAGAAAAGAGAAGCGTTACCTACCCTAGCCAAAAATTAGCCGTATAAGTCACTTGAATTCTGCACATTATAGTATGTTCATTATAGTATGCACTCTAAATGTAGCACCTCACTCCAGCTGGCGGAGCAATATGACAAAATTTTGAAGAGGCAACTCTCGTTCTCGTCGCTGTCAGACGGAATGATCTGCCACTTCTCCACTGCCAGTGTGTGCAGGCCGTCCTCTCCTTCATAGCCATATTTACTCTCGTCGACTGTGTACCGGGAGTGTTGCAGTAGAACGAACAATTCGACCTGCTTACCTAAGAGAGATGTGTCCTCCAGCAGCACACAGGAAAACTCAATGAGACATGTACATCCTTTACCCGCCATTCTGATTGCCCATGATCAATGCATCGATCAAACATACAAACAAAAGAATCAAGATCGATCTCGTCTTTGACTTTACGCTCGATCGCGGTCGCATTTTATTTTAATAATTTTGACGTTACATTCAGATGAAAGTGGAAAACAGGTCCAATCCTAAGGAACCTTGAACTTTTTAAGTACCTTTACTGCTTTAATAGGTACATGGCTCATATGTCGATCAATCTACGGGCTGGCGCAAGTCACCAGTCACTGTAGCGTAGCGTACAACCAAGCATACGACCAAGAGTACATGAAGTCCATACCGCCTACATACAACACGAAGTAGGGAGCAAATTGAAAAACTCGAAAGTTCGAGCTCAAAGGGAGCGAAACGAAAATTCGTCGGGTTGGGTTTTTTTTCAAAAATATTTCGAATATTCGAGTATGCGGTTCAACAATATACATGTAGTCAAATTCCATCCATTGTCATGTACATTCACTGAAGATCGTAAAGAGAAAATCGGTTCTGGACATTTCCTCCTGTACATGTACATAGCACATTATCTCACTTCCATGTTCGTTTCGATATTGTAGTCAAGCATCCTCAATAACGACTAGTTGTCGCACATTTTCTCTTCTTGGTTGCGATTTGATATGATAATAAAACCATAAACCATACAGTACGGGTCCCTTTGAACCCCAAAACCGGTTCACTGGGTGCAACTTTCGGTTGTTCCCAGGTTTATGAAGGAAAAAAACTGGGTTTGCATACAAGAGCCACCTCTCCGCTTCCTTTTGACGCCACCGCATAATGATCAAACGTCAGATGGGGTTCCTAAATGGTGGCACAAATATGGTACAATTTTAGAAAGTGAAGCTTACGGTTGCAGCTTAGTACATTAGTCCAGACACCGGCTAATTCATCCTTGACCATGCATTTCATCGCTGAATTAGTCGATGGAATGTAACCTTGATTGCATGTAACATTTGCCTCTTCGCCAAGATAAGCTTTGTTAACACGAACAACTCCATTGGTTATATTGATTGTACTAGAGCAGTAAGCAGGCTTCACTTTAGAGCATTGGCAAATAATACACATCCACCAGGACAAGCCGTGAACAATTCACGAATAACAGCAAAGCAAAGACACATGGAAAAATAATGTCTTCAGTGTCATTATCTCTCTTCCAAGTTCGTTTCGATATTGTAGTCAAGCATCCTCAACGAGAGAGCTTGGAAGCTCAGGGCCCTACGCTATGCTTTTTTTGCCTTGATGACCTAGACAAAAAAAGCATAGGGATGTTATAAATTCTTATAAGTTTCTACTTTTTGTTTTTAGACATAACTTAGTTTTTGAACCCGCACTATCGCCCTGCATGCATCCCCCGATACACTTCGCATACATACTAATTCTTCCAAGTTACTTCACGTTATGATCTTGTATTTGAAAGCCCTATTTGAATATGCATTGTGGCCAGCCGTCTTTGATTGTACGGTACGAGATAGGTACGGGACAGGTACGGGACAAGTACGGGACAGGTACGGGACAGGTATGGTCGAGGGTAATACCACACCGTCTACCGCCTTGATGACGGCAAAAAAAGAAAAGGTATGTTATAAATTTTTCAATTCTCCTATTTTTCCAGGCATTACCTGGAATTCGAACCCGCACTATCGCCCTACATGCATTCCTCCATACACTTCGCATTCATACTCATTCTTCCAAGTTGCTTCACTTTATTTAGAAAAGCGATCCTGTCAGCTTTTCTATTATTGTGTTCACATGGCAAGAAAAACGACACCGCTATGCTACGTAAGTTTCTACGTAAGGTGCTCGGTATTTCACTTAGGCTACTTAAGTCTCTACGTAAGGTGCTCGGTATTAGATCTACCAACGTGTGGTAGCCGTGTGCTGTGCACGTGCACGGCAGACATTGTGTTCATGGTGCATGCAGTCCACGGATCTGTGTTCGGATATGTGCATGCGCGAGGAACTTCCTTCTTTGGAACTGCTTCTTGCATGAGCTGTTTCGGATATTTCGTCTCATGGCCTGGCTTATTTCGTTTCGGCGCTGCTGAGACCTCCTTTCGCGGAATATTACTCAATGGCAGGTGAGTTGACCAGTTGCCTTTGATTCATTTGCTTGTGTTGACTCTTTCATTCACGAAAAGTGTGCTGATTTTGGGGCGGAATGCAATAAATAATGGAAAAGTTGACAGGATCTCTTTTCTAAATTTTGCTTTTCTGTAGCCGAGGCCTCCTTTTACGGAATACGCGATGACAGGTGATCTCTAAGTTGACCGGTTTTCTTCGATTCATTTGCTTATGTTCACCCTTTCATTTTCAGAAACGTGTGCTGATTTTATTCGGATTTAGGGGTCGTCCGTAAATATCGAACTTTTTTCACAAAACGTTATGGGGTGGGAGGGGGTTGACCAATTTCGTTTCAGAAAACATTGATTCATGTACATGGCCGTTGTATATACATGTATATCAACATTTTTTACATTCTGAGGGGGAGGGAGGGAGGGGTTGGGTCTAAACTAAAATAATTCGTTTGGTGAAAAAAGTTCGATATTTACGGACGGCCCCTTAGATCCATTTTTATCTCTTTGCCCTTGTCTACAGTGTGCGAAGAACGCGAGTTCACCTTCTTGACGGTAAGGCTTATGTTAGATGTGTTGTCGAAATACTCATATTCATTGTACATTGGTACGTTACAAGTAAGGCACTGGCCAGTGGCATACTATCGTTGGCAGTTCCCAATCTGGAGGGAAAGGTTCAAGGACTCATTGACCGAGTTTGCAAAATAATTTTGCATATCAGGGAAAATCTCTATTGTGGAGAGGTTCAGTAACTTGTTTGTTTCATACGATACAATCCTTTTTCGTAGTTTGCGCGGGCCAAGTGCACGTACGCCATGACCCGATCTCACGAAATTTCCTACGACAGTTCATTTCGCGTTCCCTGCAAGTTTCGCGTCCAAAGGTGCGAAGTTTCGCACTTCATGATGTAGAGCGAAAGTTTGTACGCATTTTCGTTTTGCAGAATCTCTCTAGTGACTCAATTGTTTCATACGAGACGAGTCAATGAGTCGGTGTGGCTTAGAATCTTTCGCTGTAGAAGAAATCTATTCGTATGTCTATTGGAGATATAATTGTATTCTCTGGTTATAAAATAGGTTAAGCTCACAGAATAAATAACATCGGTCCCTTGGTGTTCGTCCTAAAGAGGTTCGACTGGATATCATTCATACTCACCAAAAGATGTGTAAGATTTTATTATTGTGGAGTGCCTTGTTTATCTCTCAGTACCTCCAACCATAGCCTTGCCCCTTTTCTCCTCAGGATCAGTGTAGTTGTTAGAACGAGGTTTTGGACTCAGCAATGTATTCGTTTACATTTTAATACATGTTTATTGTTCCTCCTTTGCTGTGTTGTTTTAGACAATCGTGGACTAACAGTTTGAAGTCATTAACTACTTCCAAAAGTTGTATCGACATCAACAGGATTACGATTTCAGTTTCAATATGATGCTGGATGACCTTATCACGATAACCCATGACTATAAACCATTATAAACACAGAATCAACAAAAACATCTGTGACACGCACCTGGCGCATGGCTACATTTCTCAAATAAATCTGATTGAGGGTGGAGAAATCTGAAAGGCAAGACAATTTTATGACAGAGTCATGAAATTCTGCAACAGCAACATTTATTTATTTATTTATTTATTGCAGCATCTCAAAGCACAGTGAGAACACCGGCCAATACAAAGAGAGAGGGTGTTAGCCAACCACGGCAAGGAAGGGAGAAGGGGAGGAGAAGAAAAAAAGGAACCGGCATGGATAAGTAGTGATTGCAACAAAATGAGAAACGCAAAATCAAAGTCAAGGCGCGACAAGGCTCTTAAAAAGGCGGAGGGAAGAAAGGTCCTTAGCTTCTTGGGGAAGTGCCAGCCACGCAGAGTACGCAGTGAAAAGGGGAGAGTGAAGTAGAAAGGAGGACTTGGGTTTCGGAAGGGAAAGGGAGTTTCTCGTGCTACGGGAAGAAAACCAGTTGAAACAGTGGAGGTGAGGTGGACACAGATTGAGTTTGAGAGAATGGATAAGGGTGACAAGATGTGAATTACGTCTCTTAGACAAAGGGGTAGTGTGAGCAAGGGCATAAAGGGTGGAAGATGGGAGCATGCGGGGTTTCCGGAGGAGGATTTTTAGAACTTTTTTGTGCTGAATTTCGAGCTTTTCAGCACGGGTTTCATGCACAGAATGACCTCCGTATAAAAAAAGTATCACCACCACTGCTCACATGTTTCCCCGCAGAAGAGCATGCATTATGCTAGTGCCATTTTCTGCAAGAAAAGGCTTGCACATCAATGCGTATAATATGGTATTGATATGATGTGAAGGCCATCATTTACATATTGATATAGGGCATTCCATTGATTGGTGACAGAAAAAAACAAAAGAAATTATAGCAATAAAAACTGCTTTATGGCAGTTTTCTAAAAACAGTTATTGTGTTCTAGTCCATTGACCCCGTCTAAAAAGTAAGAAATTAATGAAATGTGATAGCTGAAAATTAGATTTTCACACAAAACCTCACAATAATCACAACACTTGAAATGCTGCTTTCAACACTAAACTTGTACTGCACCAACAATTGGCAACATGCATGCATAGGAAAGAGGATCACGAGGGCAAAAGGTCTTCTTCATGTAGCTTTTCATTCTGTGTGTGATTATTGTGAGGTTCTGTGTGAAATTTTAATTTTCAGCTATCACATTTCATTAATTTCTTACTTTTTAGACGAGGTCAATGGACTAGAACACAATAACTGTTTTTAGAAAACTGCCATAAAGCAGTTTTTATTGCTATAATGACCTTGCGTTTGAAAGCCAGCCCTATTTGAATATTGCGGCCTGCTGTGTTTGATGGTACGGTACGGGACAGGTACGGGATAGCGCCAGGCGTGACACAAACACACAAACACACAAACAAACACCAAATTAAAGCTGTGTGGACACTGGCTAGCGCCAGACGTTACTGAAGTAACGTCTTCTGCATAACTACGGGAATAAAGACTAGTTGTCGCACCTTTTACTTCTTGGTTGCGAATTTATATGATAATAAAACCATAAACCATACCCTAGGGGTCTGTTTGAACCCCAAAACCGGGAGTGAGGGATATAAGTGACTTTGTGGTGTGGTGCCTTTTTGTTCTGTGTGATACGTTATGTCTCCACGGTATTGAGCAATTCAAGTTCACTGGGTGCAACTTTCGGGTGTGCCCAGGTTTATGAAGGAAAAAACTGGGTTCGCGTACAAGAGTCACCTCTCCACTTCCTTTTGACGTAACCGCATTATGATCAAACGTCAGATGGGGTTCCTAAATGGTGGCAAATAATATGGTACAATTTTAGAAAGTGAAGCTTACGTTTGCAGCTTAGTACATTAGTCCAGACACCGGCTAGTTCATCCTTTACCATGCATTTCATCGTTGAATTAGTCGATGGAATGTAACCTTGATTGCATGTAACATTTGCCTCATCGCCAAGATAAGCTTTGTTAACACGAACAACTCCATTGGTTATATTGATTGTACTAGAGCAGTAAGCAGGCTTCACTTTAGAGCATTGGCAAATAATACACATCCACCAGGACAAGCCGTGAACAATGCACGGGAGAACAGCAAAGCAAAGACACATGGAAAAATAATGTCTTCAGTGTCATTATCTCTCTTCCATGTTCGTTTCGATATTGTAGTCAAGCATCCTCAACGAGAGAGCTTGGAAGCTCAGGGCCCTACGCTATGCATTTTTTGCCTTGATGACCTAGACAAAAAAAGCATAGGGATGTTATAAGTTCTTATAAGTTTCTACTTTTTGTTTTTAGACATAACTTAGTTTTTGAACCCGCACTATCGCCCTGCATGCATCCCCCGATACACTTCGCATACATACTAATTCTTCCAAGTTACTTCACGTTATGATCTTGTATTTGAAAGCCCTATTTGAATATGCAGTGTGGCCAGCCGTCTTTGATTGTACGGTACGAGATAGGTACGGGACAGGTACGGGACAGGTACGAGACAAGTACGGGACAGGTACTGGACAGGTACGGTCGAGGGTAATACCACACCGTCTACCGCCTTGATGACGGCAAAAAAAGAAAAGGTATGTTATAAATTTTTCAATTCTCCTATTTTTCCAGGCATTACCTGGAATTCGAACCCGCACTATCGCCCTACATGCATTCCTCCATACACTTCGCATTCATACTCATTCTTCAAAGTTGCTTCACTTTAGGACCTTGCGTTTGAAAGCCAGCCCTATTTGAATATTGCGGCCTGCTGTGTTTGATGGTACGGTACGGGACAGGTACGGGATAGCGCCAGGCGTGACACAAACACACAAACACACAAAAAACACCAAATTAAAGCTGTGTGGACACTGGCTAGCGCCAGAGGTTACTGAAGTAACGTCTTCTGCATAACTACGGGAATAAAGACTAGTTGTCGCACCTTTTACTTCTTGGTTGCGAATTTATATGATACTAAAACCATAAACCATACCCTAGGGGTCTGTTTGAACCCCAAAACCGGGAATGAGGGATATAAACTCCTTTGCATCATGTACTCAACCAGTTTAACCTTCGCAACCACGTCACATCTCCTACCCGAGTAACCAGCAGTACTGCCACACTACTGGATCTATTCTTGTCTACCACCCCGATCCAGGGTGTTTGCGAGACCATACATTTGGATATCAGTGACCACTCTGCAATACTTGCCAGGCTGCCAATTTCAGCAAGTCACCACTTGAAGGGACAGCATCTGCGCAAGACTCGCTGTTTGCACAAAGTGGATTGGAATATGTTTACATGTGACCTGGTGTTTAGAAGAGTATCTCTTTGTTGTTGTTACTATAATCGAGTGGCACATTCGCACTACAATTCTACGAGTGCTAGTTTGAAATTACGTTACGAATTGTTACGTTGTACAGCAGGTACGAAACAATTAATATTTACATACTCACCGGTTTTCGTTTCGGAGTCCCGCGCTGTGACTCAGCTAATTTCTATTTCGTTTGCCTTGTATTGTCTGACTAGGGGCGCTGTCACCCCGTCGGGTGCAAGCACCCTTGGACAGAAGCACTTCACTTCACGACAAGTGTTCATTTTCGTTTTCCTCTTCTGCTTCTGTTGCACAGTTTGAACTTTGAATGTGTGCTTTTTTCGTACTCTGCTCTCGATCGAACCATGCGCGGGTCGATCTCCAATAATTTTATCTTCCGTTGCCATGACTGGCATTAGTACGCGTTCTGTACTCACTCGCTGCTTGGCACGCTTGCAGCGCGTCTTTTTTCTGTTGCAACCCAGTGCCTGCGTGCACGGTACGGGATTTGCGATGCCACATCAGCGTTGGTGTGTCGTTGTGCTTTGTTGTTGTTTTGTTCTTTGCTGAGTGTGGTCGTTAAAACTGAGAAAGAACGGGTCGTTGACAAGGCGTGGTTTCGATGTGCATGCCCTCCTGTCAACTCCAAACTATTGGTAGCAGAGGATGGTTTTCACGGAGCCATCATGGAGGTAAAACTAGAAGACCTCGCACGGAAAAAGCGAGAGCTGAAAACGGATTTCACAAATACGAGGAGAAATTTGACAGTGGAGTCAACGAATGAGGTGCCGAACCAAGATGACGTAAAGGCATGGAGAAGCCACTTGACGACAGTGTATAACGAGACCAAGAAGGTCATCATGGAATACATGGAAGCGGTGGTGGATACTGACTCTAGGAGACATGCTGGTCTCCAAAAGCAGTACAAGCAGCTGGAAGGCCAGTATTCAGATGCCATGGAATTGGCCAGAAGTGTGCTCATCAGGAGCAGCAGAGCGAGCCTGGCAGCGTCGACCAGGCAGACTCCCAGTCCCAAGCAATCGCCACTGAGAGGGGCAACGCCGTTACTGGCGTCAGTGCGCGAGGAAAGCAGAGAAATTCTAGATCTGCGTGCGGCGCTCCAAGATGCACCGTTTCTTGGTCGTCAGGACGATACGCGGGTTATGTTGCCCAGGGTTGCAGACTATGGAGAACGGGTGAAAGTAGAACCGGACAGTCGTGTTGTAATGTTCAGTGGTCAGCGTGTGGGGGAACCTGCTGAACCCTTCCCGACCGTTGCCATGGCAACCGCGTCAGCACACGCGCCACCGCAAACGGATATGATCAACAGCAATGCATGCAACACTTTATCTGCAGCAGCTGCAGAGTACCAGCCACGTAGTTCAGTGCTGCCAGCGTCATTTGCAACTATGACCACGGGCAGCAACGATCCCGCTATAAATCAGGAACAAGGCTCTGCCTTCCTGATCCACGATCCTGCTGATCAAACACCTAGTATGATGTATGCAACGTATGGCAACAATACTGCTAGGCCGCAGCAGGCATACATGTACCAACAACAGCAGCCGCAGTGGAGTGCGAGCAATAGTGCAGTCGTGTACAACTCACCTGTGTCTACTGGACCGTCGCACACCATCGCTGCCGGAGTGTCACAGTACGGTGTGAGACCCAGCGCTGGCATGCAAGCACCCCAGACCGCAGTATTCGCCCCAGTTCCGACATATGTCGGAGGCACCGCAGCTCGACCTGCGCCACGGACTGCTCCAGCGGCAACTGCACAGATCAACATCGCCAGCAAGTTGAAGCGGATCGAAATTGCCGTGTTCACCGGAGAGAAGCGAAAATACGAGCGTTGGAAATCCGCTTTCAGCGTTTGTGTGGACCAGCAGCCGCTCTCCGCTGAATTCAAACTGCTGCAGCTCCGACAGTACGTGGCGGGTGAGGCGCTGGATGCCATCGAGAGTCTCGGCTACTCGGCAGCAGCATACGATGCTGCTCTGCGGCGGCTGGAGCGACGCTTCGGTGGGAGTCGCCGGCGCCTTGCGGTTAGGATGGAAGAGCTGGAACGATCTCCACCTATTCGATCCGGTAGAGCCCAGGACCTGGAGCGCTTTACCGATGTGCTCGACATGGCAGTGGTGACGTTAAAGGATGCCGGTATGCACACCGAGCTAGGTACCGGCATTCTCTACCAGCGGATCCAGCAGAAGCTGCCGGTGAACTTGTTGGCCCAGTATCGCCGCTGGATAGTGCACCACCAAAAGGACGAATCGGTCGAGGTGCTGCTGGAGTGGCTGAATGCCGAGGCAGAAGTTCTTGCTGCCGCCACGGAAACTATCGAAGGCATCAGCCAGCAGCATCACGTCAGAAACCAATTGTCAACCAGCGGGACAAGTCGAAATCAGCCGACTCGGACGGCAACTGCTCACGACGCTGTGCAACCGCGCACGACCGCGTTCGTGACAGCTACAAACACCGCTGGCAACGTGCCGACCGCAAGGTCCACATGCCAATGCTGCAATGGTGGCGAGCACCCGATCTGGCGCTGCCCAGAGTTTGAGAAACAAACTGTAAGCCAGCGCTGGGCAGCAGCGAAGCGAAGCAAGTCATGCTATAGATGCCTTGCGACTGGGCACAGCGGCAAGGACTGCCCACGGGACCGGGAGTGCGGTATCAACGGGTGCACGCAGCATCACCATCGCCTGCTGCACAGTGAGCCCCGTCAACCGCCTCCAGCGTCGTCAACCCACGCCTCCGGAGAGACTGGAGCCATGCAGCCGGAGAACTTCAGTGCTGTCTCCCTCGGAAACAGCACGAAGGGAGAGGAGAATAGAGTACGGACGGTGACGTCGATTCGGACAGTTCCCGTTCAGCTATCCAACGGCAAGCGGTCGCTAACTGTTAACGCGCTGCTGGACGACGCCAGCACGCGCTCGTACATAGCGAGCAATGTTACGGCAGAACTCGGCCTGATTGGATCAAGTATGTCGCTGACCATCAGCAAGCTGAATGGACAGCAAGAGACCATTCACACTGTCCCAGTATCGTGCACTCTGCGAAGTGTTGACGGAGCCACGTCGACGACTCTCCATGCGTGCACAATCGAGCAGCCAACAGGCAACATGGAAGTTGTAGACTGGCACCACCTGAGAAAGCAGTACGCACATCTAGCCAACGTTGAGTTTCCGCCGCTACCGTCGAAACGCCACATTGACGTGCTTATCGGTGCCGACTATCCGGAGCTTCACATGGCGTATGAAGAGCGCTCGGGTAACAGCCATGAGCCCGTGGCGCGTCGGACGGCATTAGGTTGGACCTGCATCGGCCAAGTACAACCAGCACACCCAGCGGCGAGCTGCTGCTTCACAATGTTCAGCGACGGTGACCTACAGAGCAGCTTGAAGCGCCTGTGGGAAATCGAAGAAGTGAACAGCAGCACTACGAAATTCATGTCACGCGACGACAAGGTGGCAGAGCAGAAAGTTGCAGCGTCGTTGAAGGTGACGGACGGCCGCTACTGCGTTGGCATACCCTGGAAATCCGAACGTCCAGTCATGCCTGAAAGCCGAGCGAAGGCACTCGGCCGTCTGCACAGCTTGGAGAAGCGGCTGCGACGTGACTCAGCAGCAGCAACAGCGTACAGCGATGTCATCCGCAAGTACCTAGCCAACGGGTACATTCGACGAGTGCCTGACAACGAGTGTGGAGGTTCTGTAAACGAATGGTACCTT